TTGCGGGGGGCGTGCAGCCAATCCCAGCTGACACTGGGCGAAAGGCGGAGTCCACCCATGTGGTATTGTACATGGTTCTAAACCAAAAATGTTGAATTACTTACATGAATTTTAATAAACACTTTTTTAAATTTTAGCATTGTTGCTGCTGAATGCTGTTGGATACAATTTAAAAATGACTAAAATTAACTAGAATGGTAATATTCTATGCAAAACACAAAACTAACTAACTAAAAAAGCATTGTATTGGCAGACACTAGGCAAACTCACGCATACACACACACACACACACACACACACACACACACACACACACACACACACACACACACAGAGAGAGACGTTCTCTCTGGAATAGTTGGTGCCAACGGCATATCATTGCCTACAGGGGTGTCTGAATCACTGCCAGAATACAATGTTGTTACAGAAAAAGAGAAAGCAATGAGGAAACACCCTTTGGGGAAAGTTTTTAAAAAGTTGAAGTGTGAAAGGTAGGAGGCCGGAAAAAGAGGAAGAGGAAATAAAAAAGAACAGAAAGAGAGACAAAAACAAGCAGAGCTGAGAAAAAAAGGATGCCACAGGACAAATGACTGGAGCAAATAATTTGTGTAGCACAAGACAAATACACACCGAAAAAGACATTTGCTTTGTAGTGCTCCTCAAGCCTCTGCCAGACACATTATTTTGCCCAGATAACACAGACACACACACACACAGACACACACCTGGTCCACGGTGGTTTTTCTCCATCCAGATGTAACAGTTGCTCTGGGCTACACCAGTCTGGGAGTCCAGGAAGGGGAGACGCATGGAGCGCTCGGCACACAGACGGGCATTGTAGCTGCGACAGTGTTCAATGGCCTCCTTGTAGAACTCCTCACCAAGACTGAGAGAGGAGGGGGGAGGAGAAGAAAGGGGGAGGGGGTGTGGAGGTCAAAGGTGAAGGAGTAAATACGGTCCAACATCAACAGGGATACAAAAACCACGAGATGGGTGTGTGTGTGTGTCTGGGTCAAAAGAGGACGGGCTTCAAATGGATTTTCATGGATAGTTGTAGGACATGTTTTGCATATGTGTGTTCAAGCGCTAAGCTACACACACATCTTAGTGCATGTGTGTTAGTCAAAAGTAACAGTGAGCATACAGTGGTGTGTGTGTGTGTGTGCATGTAGGCAAGCCATGGAAATGCACACTCCTATTAACCTGGGTCACAGCAAATGAGCTGGCATCTATACCCTGTTAAACCCCCCCCCACACACGCACACACACACACACACACACACACACACACACACACATTCTTGATGACTGCACCTCCAGATTGCCTGTAGGGAGAAGAAGAACAAGAAAAACAATAGATGTGCAGTGAGTCACTCCTACACCCCACTCACCATTCATTTGTCTTTACGTCTTTCCTTCACTCTCACACTCCTTCACCTTTCGCTCAATTATTTGTCTTTGCTTTTTGCCTGTTTAACTCTCAGACTCTGCCCATCTCTAGCTACACTTCTTTTTTAAATTTTCAACTTTATTCACACTTCTCTCTCTCTTCTCTTTGTCTCTCTAAT